TTAACCGGATTCCAAATCAATGGTGCACATGGGCTCCAGTATCCTGCGGGAACGAATGGCGTATGAACCAATCGTTGGTCACCGGCTACCATGGGACTGCATCTCCTTACGATGCTCCACTGCCTTGTGGGTTAGACCTTTAGGTCAAAGGCTCGGGGAGTGGCCCCCTAAGATAACCACCTGCTTCGGTTTGGGCACCCGGGCAGTATCACAGCCCACACACAAATGATGAACTCTTTATGTCTATGGAAATTACTTTTGTCGCTTTGAAAAACAAACAATTGATTCAGATTATTATCATTACAATTATTGTCATTATTAATACTAATATTATTATTACTACTATTATTGTCATTATTATTATTATTATTATTATTATTATTATTATTATTATTTTCCACATTATTCACCCTCTTTTATACTTATACAGCGGCTCGTCTTTGGTGGAATTCCGACTGTATCTAAACGTTCTCGAGTCACTGTCCGGTTGAAAATTGTATGTTACCACCGAATACGAGGACTGAAGCAGATTTTCTGAAACCACGTGCACCATTCAAACTGGCTGCCTTCAACGTTCGCACATTTATGCAGGTCGGACAACAGATAGGGCTGGCTATGTCTTTGGAAAGTCTTAATATCGACGTGTGTTGTCTATCCGAGACCCGTATTCAAGACTCTGGCGAAGTACTACAAATTCGATCTCCATCTGTCGCTTCGAAAAGCTTGTTTTACGTGCGCTTATCCGGGGACCCTGTGGCATCTTCGTCTGGTCTTGCTGGCGTTGGTGTCGCACTAAGCGCTAGAGCTGAGGCAGCACTAGTCGATTGGATCCCCATTAACAGTCGGTTATGTGCTGTTAGATTAGAAAGTTCCATCAAAGTGAGAAGAAATCGGCGTGAGAAACGATGTCTTTTCGTCATCTCCGCCTATGCCCCGACAGATTGCAGCCCGGATGCAATCAAGGATGAGTTTTACCACCAGTTATCAGTTCTTCTCCAGAAAGTGCGTTCGACAGATATTGTAGTACTAGCCGGAGACTTGAATGCTCAGGTCGGGCGTCTAGGCACAGAAGAGAGTCGTTTAGGTGGCCGATGGGGACTCGTTGGTCGCAGGTCAGATAACGGGGACCGTCTACTGCAACTTTGCACAGACCACAACCTGTTTCTGGCTAGCACTAACTTTCGGCACAGTCATCGCCGATGTGCCACCTGGCGTCCTCCCTCTGCATCTCAAGCCTGGACTCAGATTGATCACATCGCGATCAGCTACCGCTGGCGTGGTTGTGTACAAGACTGCCGCTCCTTTTGGAGTACCTATCTGGACTCTGACCATGCCTTGGTCTGCGCCAATCTTGCCTTACTTTTCAGTGGACAACGAAGTGAACGCCATCAACGGATTGATGTTAGCAAGCTGGTTGCAACTTCTGTTGCAAGTAAGTATCGAACCGAGCTAGCCTCTAGGCTAGCTACCACTCCACCGAAAAGTATAGATGAGCATTGGTTGCAATTGCATGACGCCATGAAAATGGCGGGAACAGTCAGTTGTGGGTTTGCGAAACGTCCCGCCTTTAAGCACTGGGTTTCTTCTGGTTCCTTACAACTCATTGAAGCCCGTCGGTCTACTCCGGGTGACCGTGAGTTTGACCATAAACGAAGGATGTTACGTAAGGAGATTGGGCAAAGCTTGCGTAAGGACCGAGAAGCCTGGTGGTCGATGCGTGCTAATGAGCTGGAAGCAGCAGCTGCATCTGGTAACTACCGGAAGCTCTTCCAGCTCATCCGAGCCACTGGCAGCAAGAAGTCTGGTGTGAGTGAAACAATCTGCGAGGATGATGGGATGCCAATCACTAACATCCATCGACGTCTTGGACGATGGGCAGAATTTTTCGAAGGGCAGTTCAACTGGCCTGCTGCTCCGGCAACATCGGTCAGACTGTCCTGCCCTCCATGGCCGGTGACGACTGATCCACCAAATGAGGAGGAAGTCCGCAAGGAACTCCAACTCTTGAAGCGTTACAAATCACCTGGCCCAGATGACTTACCTCCGGCTCTTTTTAAAGATGGTGGTGACTTTTTGACTAAGGAATTGACGACGTTGTTTACAAAGGTTTGGGAACTAGAGTGTGTACCAACGTCATGGAATGAGTCGATAGTTGTCCCTATCTTTAAAAAGGGTTCACGTCGTTCTTGTAACAACTATCGGGGGATAAGTTTACTTCCGATTGCGTCCAAGCTATTGGCTTCCGTCATTCTTCGTAGGTTGTTCAAAACCCGAGAAAGATTGACTCGCGAGGAGCAGGCTGGGTTTCGTTCTGGTCGAGGATGTATTGATCATATCTTCACCCTCCGCCAAATGTTAGAACACCGCCATACTTTTCAAAGGCCAACAATCGTAGTGTTTCTTGACATCAGGGCTGCCTTCGATTCGTTGGACAGGACTGTTCTCTGGGATTGTCTATTGAAGAAGGGTGTGCCTGAGAAGTTTATTAACATCCTAAAAGCCCTGTATAAAAACACCTCAGGCAGAGTGAGGGCATACAACCACCTCTCTCCATTGTTCCATTCGAGCAGTGGGGTTAGGCAGGGTTGCCCAATCTCACCATTCCTCTTCAACTTTGCCATCGATGACATTCTGGAAACAGCTCTGATGAATGTAAGTAATGGTGGTGTGGATCTGTTGCCTGGAGAAAGACTTCTCGACCTTGAGTATGCGGACGATATTGTCTTACTGTGCGATAATGCCCAAGGCATGCAATCCGCACTTAATCAGTTGGCAATCAGTGTCCGTAGGTATGGTATGTGCTTTGCACCTTCGAAGTGCAAAGTACTTCTACAAGACTGGCAGGATTCTAATCCTGTACTCACCCTGGACGGTGAGCAGATAGACGTAGTTGAGAAGTTCGTGTATCTGGGTAGCTGCATAAGTGCTGGTGGGGGTGTGAGTGATGAGATCAATGCACGAATAGTGAAAGCCAGAGCGGCTTATGCCAATCTGGGCCACCTTTGGCGCCTTCGTGATGTTAGTCTGGCTGTAAAAGGTCGGATCTACAACGCGTCGGTGAGAGCAGTTTTGCTCTATGCTTGTGAAACCTGGCCTCTCCGAGTTGAGGACGTTAGACGACTCTCTGTGTTCGATCATCGCTGTCTCCGAAGGATTGCTGACATTCAGTGGCAACACCATGTCAGTAATGCAGAGGTTCGGCATCGTGTGTTCGGGCACAGAGATGATAACTCAATTGGTGTCACCATCTTGAAACACCGACTTCGGTGGCTTGGACATGTTCTCCGAATGTCGTCCCAGAGAATTCCACGTCGTGCATTATTTGCCGACTCTGGGACTGGTTGGAAGAGGCGGAGAGGTGGTCAGTGCATGACATGGTGTCGTGGCATGAAAGAAAGCTGCAAAGGACTGGCTTGTGTTGGTCCTTCACGACTCCCTGGTTGGGGTCCGAGAGATGGTGCTACACAGTGGCTAGAGACGTTATCAGATATGGCTCAGAATAGAAGCCAGTGGCGATCCTGCTGTAACCTTCTTTTACTTTCTTTCTAAAAAGTGGTTGTGTCTCCTTTACCTGAAAGATTTCTTCTGATTGTACCTTTTCGTTCCGTCGTTACTACCACACTACCTTACTCCAATCTCTTCGTCATTGTTCTCTTTTTCTTTTGCGTTCCCTAGTTTTTTTTTTCTTTCTATTTCTCTTCGAATTTTCATTGTTTTGTGTGGCGCATATATATTGGCGCTCTCTTGTACCAATATTTATGTGTTCAAATAAATAAATAAATAAATAAACTTTGCGATGATACCTAAGCCATGTAGTCCGCACTTAGTCGGTTGCCAATCAATATTCGTAGGTATGGCATGTGTCTTGTACCTTCTACGTACGAAGTACTTTTGCAAGACTGGCACGCACCTGAACTTGCACTCACCCTGGGTAGTGAGCGGATAGAAGTATTCGAGAAGTCCGTGTATCTGGATAGCAGCGTGCTGGCGGTGGCGTGAGTGATGAGATCAATTCAGGAATAATGAACGCCAGAGAGGCTCATGCAAACCTGGGCAGTCTTTGGAGCCTTTGTGATGTTAGCCCGGTTGTTAAAAGCCAGACCTACAACGCGTTGGTGAGAGCAGCTTTGCTTTATGCTTGCGAAACCCAGCCTTTCAAAGTTGAGAATTTTAGGTGATCATCGTTGTCCCCGAAGGCTTGATGACATCCCCCCGCTATTATTATTAAATCGCATTCATTCACTAATTTCTGTTCATTGTTCGTCTTTTTATTACACTCACCCTCCATTCTCTATCTCTTCAGAACCCAATTGTTATTGCGTGGCGTTCATGTATTGGGTGCCCCCTTGTACAAAAGTTTGTGTTCACATAAATAAATAAACTTGTTATGTAACAAGCGATATTGTTTGAGTAACAGCTCATATATAAATAATTAAAATATGTATAACACCGATTGTAGCACTTCTACTGACAGAGTTGGATGGAGAATGCTGTTGGGCGGACAATGCTCGTCCACGAAGGGCAACGGGTCTAAGATATATATATATATATATATATATATATATATATATATATATGCAGCCTGTTGTGATTGGATTAGTATTTTCTTCATTCCTCAGCTGGTTAGTCAGAGCATCTTCATCTGCTAAGGAATTTAAAAGTCGTGGAAAAAAACAAAATTAAATTTGCCAGAATAACTACTATTTGTTGTTAAATGGATGGACGCGTTTGTGTTCAAATGTCCAGGGTACTGTTTACATTTATCCTGTTCAAGATCTACTAAGTACGTACAAAACTTTATTTCGTCAAATACTCGAATTATTTTAAAAATAAGTTTTGTAAAATAATTTCAAACTTTATTGTAAACAAAGTATTTTCGTTAAGAAATAATGTTCTCATCTTATGAACCTTTGAAAATCAGCCAATACATGATAAATGTTTCGTCGTCAAGGTTGTAGTTGTTCAGAATTAGAGAAATAGAGATAAACAGTATAACTTACCAAAGTTTTTTTTACACCGTCGTTGCATTCATCATTGACAGATGATCTGAAGTCAGATAAGAATCGATTAACTATTACATCATCCATACAGCGTTCTTGCAGAATCGTATTGAGCACTTTCAATAATGGATTAACCTAACAATAAAATAACAATAATAAAAGTTCTTGCTATTCGTCTGCGGACCAAAAGATGAGTAAACTGTGCAGTAGTATGTTATGATCTACTTTAAGGCTGTGAAGGGTGACCTTTGAAAATAGAGGATATTCATAAATGGCTAGTATTTGATTGTAGATTTTTTTGGACTGTTGTTTGAGTACGTTAAGACTATTAGCTTCAATAATACTTCGATACCTAACTAAAGCTCGTAAGGAGCAGACTAGAGAAAATCAGGCTGGTTTTCGACCTGGACGTGGTTGTATAGACCACATATTCACATTACGTCAGGTTCTAGAACACAGACACACATTCAGACGCCCCACAATCGTAGTGTTTCTGGACCTTGAGGCGGCATTCAACTTTGTTGATCGTGAGGTTCTATGGCAGTGTTTGTCATTGAAAGAAGTACCAAGGAAGTACATTAACCTTGTAAAGGCTCTCTACTCGAACACAACTGGTCGAGTGTAAGCTTATGGCGAACTGTCATCAGAATTGATTAACTCAAGTGGTGTTCATCAGGGCTGCCCACTCTCTCCATTCCTGTTCAACTTTGTCGTCGACGTACTTTTAGAGATAACATTTTCCTCATCTGACTTTACAGGGGTTGAACTTCTACCGGGAGCTTCACTTGTTGACTTCGAATATGACTATCATTAGGTAGGGCCCTAAGAGGTTTACTTGCAGCGTCTTTCCTACGTCCAGTAAGACGCAGGCAAATACGCGCTCGTACTAGAGCATGATCTGAATCTAAGCATGTCCAACGTTGGGACGAATTAGGGGGTCGCCATGTTAAAAGATGTTTTTCCTTATGCTTAAAGTTAGTGTTTGCAAGAAAAAGGCGGTTATCTGAGCATAGCTGCAACAGACGGTCGCCATTATCTGTTCGTTGAGCCACGATGTTATTAGACCCACCCAGGTGTCTTTCCCTATCGATTAGTTTACGTACTTGAGCATCAAAGTCACCGGCCACTATTACTACATCAGTGCGCCCAGCTTTTCGGAGAAGGTCTGAGAGCTTTCTGTAAAACTCATCTTTTACATCATCTGAGCTGCAGTCAGTGGGAGAATAGGCAGAGACGATGAAGAGGCAACGACGAGTGTCCCTATCTTTCCGAGTCCTTACTGTTCCGTTCAGTCGGACAGCGCACAAACGACTGTCTGCTGGGATTTACTCTAAGAGAGCTAGTTCTGCCCTAGAACTCAATGCTATACCTACGCCGGCGAGGCCACGAGAAGCAGAATCAGGGCTTCCAAATACAAGAAGTGTGAATCGAGTTGGTTCTTTATTTTGGCATGGTGAGGTCAAGTGAATGACGCTACCCGGATCCTGTGTGCGCGTCTCGGAGACGCAGCACAAATCGATGGCGCGAGATTCTAAAGTCCTAGCTAAGGGAGCCTGTTGTCCTATTTGGCACAGCGTTCGTACGTTGAAAGCTCCTACGTGTATTTTAGAGCGTGGTTTCAGGAGACCAGGAATAGCGTTCCGCGTATTCGAATAGTTTGCCCTAGCGGTGCGAGGTGATAAACAGACGTGAGAAAGGTTAGTTGTGGAGATAAGAGTGGTATTAGGAGGTGTAGGAAGGATTTGAATGTGACCAACTTGGTCTCGTGTGCTGTTACGGGTATGAGGGCTGATGTCACTTCCCGGCTGCCCACACCGTGGAAGAGTATTTCTTGAGGAACCTCAAAAAGAAGTCGGACTAATGTTGGTCTTAACGACCTGGGAGCGTGACTGCAGAGCACAAGGGACAACTGCTTGAGGCCGGTCGCGCACGGCCTTTTCGTGAAAGGTTTTTAATGTGTTAGCACCGTTCTTTGAAGGGGCCTTACCGCCGGAGACGGAAATCCGTGAGGTAAGGTGAGGTGTGACATTTTTAGGGTCAACCTTTTCTAACCCCACCTCTCCTTGTGGGAAGGCAGCATCGCTGCAGATGCTGGTTGTCCGAGGGAAACACCTTACTGCTGTCACACCCCTCTACAGTCAGCAGTATGACTTCGCCCTCAGAACTTGAGTTGCTGCTTTTAGTCTTACCGTTCTCCAATTGACCTGCCTGGCATGGTAGAACCTAGAGGAACATGTGTTCCAACCAATATAGCTCGGTTGGGTCATCACGATAGGCAAGCCCGACCACCGCGTCAAGGTAGCAGCTACGGTTGCATAGTGGAAGCTGATATTGGCGTTCCAAACTCAGCAGACAGGGCTAGGCAGGGAAAAGGACAAATAAGGACTAGTGAGGATGCTAAACTGCTCATACCATTAATACATCATTGGTTTGGCACAGTGCTAAGATCACATAAGTCGTATTCTGATTGATGAATCAGTCACATGACAATCAGCCTGACAAAGGTCACAACCACGACCTGATTAAGATACCAAAGAAAGGAGATCTGAGAAAATGTTGGAACTATAGAGGCATCACACTACTGTCGGTACCAGGGAAAGTTTTCAACAGAATGTCGCTGAACTAGATGAAAGATTCAGTAAACGGACAAATTCAAGATCAACAGACCAGATTCCGTAAGGACCGGTCAAGCACTGATCAAATAGTGACACTATAGAACATCGCTGAACAATTAATTGAATGCAACTCGTCACTATACATCAACTTCTCTGACTACGAATTTGACTGTGTGGATAGGAGAACTTTATAGAACTTTCTTCGACACTACGGTGTACCTGAGAAAACCGTCAACACTATAGAAAGTTCATACGAAAGACTACACTGTAAAGCCGTGTATGGAGGACAGTTGACAGATGTATTAGACAAGGCAGCTTACCTCACTCTTCCTTTTTCTTCTGGTGGTCGACTGGATTTTGACGACCTGAATGTCTCGATCGGAACACGAATTACAAAGGACATTCTGTATAGATCTGGACGATTTGGACATCACAGATGACTTAGCTCTTCTATTTCACACACCAACAAATTCAAATGAAGACAACAAGTGTAGCAGCAGCCTCTGCATCAGTAGGCCTCAACATACATAAGAGAAAAAGAAATATCCTCAAATACAACGTAGGAAAACCATCCCAAAGCACACTCGATGGAGAAACTCTGAAAGAAGTGGAAACTTTCACATACCTGGGAGGCATCATCTATGAACAAGGAGGATCTGATGCAGATGTGCAGGCAAAGATTGACAAAGCAAGGGTAGCATTCCTACAGTAGAACATATAGAACCCAAAACAATTGTCTGAAAGCCAACACCAAAGTCAGAATCTTCAACACAAACGTCAAGACAGTTCCATTGTATGGAGCCGAAACTTAGAGGACTTCTACAACTACAGTCAAAAAGTACAGGTTTTTATGAGTAACCATCTATACAAAGTACTCCGGATCCACTGACTAGAGACCATCAGCAATGACATACTGTGGCTGAGGACATAACAACTTCTAAATGAAGAGGAAATAAGGAAAAACCGCTAGAGGTGGATAGGTTACAATTTACAGAAATCGTCAGGCTGCATCACAAGATAAGCCTTGACTCGGAATCATGAAAGGAAAAGAGGTGGATCAAACAATACACTGAGTCGGAATTGGAGGCTGGGATCAAAAGGATGAACAGCAATTGGCGACAACTGGAAAGGAGAGTCCAGGACAGATTTGGTTAAGCAAGCCTGGTCGGCGGCCTATATTCCACGAGGGTTAACAGATGTAAGTAAAATCTCATCGTTATTCGCATCACTGTTCATTTATTTCTCTAGACATCCTCATAATTTTCGATTCCCACTAAGAAATGACTCTGAAGTATTTGATCAAATGGAATTTTTATACTTTCTTGAGGAATAGTATCACCTTAAGGATAACACATGAATGTAAATCAACTGTAGATATATTTTAAGTGTTAGGACATTGAACAATAGTTATCACTGCTCACCTTATTTTTTCTCCATAATATACAAAAAACTGAACGATAAATTGGTAACAAAGTTTCTGAAAGATTTTTCACACACCATAGGTGAATGCTGTGACATTTTTCTATGTGCTAATAAAATTAAAAGAACACAATATCTTTTTAAGACAAGAAATAAAAGTTGCTGAGAAAAAGTTGAAAATTTAGCTATTTGTGAATATGAGATATCAAACATATTACTGATTATCAATTGATATTAATACCAACAATCCGTATGAATGGGATTTTAAATGCAAAAGAGATGCATGTATAAGACTAACGGTTCTCTCTAAATGAGGAATATGTATTTATCTAATCAGATTCACGGACAACTAGGATCTAGTGGTCTCTTGATTGGTCGAAAGTCAGTTTCACATAGATTGAGAAAAAGGTCAGTTACAATGATTACTAATGAGTTAGTGTAGAAAGTAACAGACGTTTGCACGATAACGATATGTGGCATACAGGTTTGAAAGGACTTAGTACCGCTTAAATTTATTCAATGACAAAAGTCTACAGAGCGCTCTCGTATTTAGTGACATTTTGTAGCAATAACATATTAACATCAGGACTAAGCAACCCAATCAATTCACAGATGGTATCTAGCTTCCTTTACTGAAATCCACACCCTGGCACTGCTAATTATTTTTAGAAATTTAGAGCAGACAAATCATATTTATTAAAGCTTGTATACAAACTTTCACGATAAAACTGCTACTGAGGCTAACAATTGAGTATTTTTTTCTAAAATACTTCCACAACGTTGTTGTTGTTATAAAAAATAAGACGACGTTTTAAGTACATGACGTTTTTGTTCGGACAAATAAGTATTATCCCTGCAAGATTTATATCGTAAAGTTACGTTTTATTCAAAAAACAAGATTTCAATAACTGTTTCGTATGACTAACGGCAAAAAGTACACATTGGTTCACTTATTTATTTAAACACATTAACATAGGTACAGGAAGGCACCAAATAGAGTGAAAATTAGATCTAATAAAATTGCTCATCATATTATTATGATTCACTTTCTCTCTAGTAATGCTCTCATATGGCCACGTGCATACGACCAATTTCGTAATAATAATATCATTATTGTTCCCCCGACATATTAGATATTCCTTTTATATCTTCTTATCTTAATTTCTGACTATCCTTTGAAATTAATTGTGACTTTCATAGCATCATTCTTAATTATTATTGCACAAATATTTATACTAATATCCGGTTTCACTCTGTATACTATTACATAAATCTAAATGTATTCATCCGAGTGCACTGAAGGATTTTTATTTTATTTTTCTAAATTGTTGGTTTCCTTCTGAGGTTGATATTCATTACGCAATTATTATTATTATCATGGATGAAACTTTTCACTAGGTGTTCACTTCTTTTCTTTCTTCTCTCCCTCTAAATAAATATTCTTAAGATTATGAAGTTTGTAATTAAGACAATAACTTGTGTTACACTTAAATTAACTTCTCAGACCCGTTTTATCTTCATTATGCATATATGTCTCATACATATTGATATTTCATTATCCTTTTCACTCAATTGAGACTTTCATTGCATCACTTCAGACTATGACTGCACAAACATTTATTCTAGTGTCATATCTTACTGCAATAATAAGTTGTTTTTTCTTAATTATCTTTGTTACTAATTTGACGATATATACATAGTCGTTTGTTCTTGTTTTATGTTCATAAACACGCCAATTAAACTGTTTGCGTATTTCACGTCTCCTTTATTTCTATTCCCTTATTTTCTCCATTTCCTTCTTTAAACTCAATTCAATATTCTTCTCAATTACACAGACCCGATTTATTATTATTAATATTCTACTATTATTACTCTAAAAAAAATTTTAATATGGCAAGTATAATGCTAACATTATTGAAAATTGTGTATTATTGCATTTTTTGAGGAAACCCGAAATGGTTTTTTCACAACACTTATGTACCCATGAGATCTTTGTGAATAATAATAATAATAATAATAACCCCACCACAGGAAAGCAGTGAGTAGGACTTCCCTGATAGTGGTTGTGTGCACGTGGCAATGTGAGAGCATTGCGAGAGGGAGAGTTGACTCCCCCACTCTCGGCCGTACCAGAGCATTTGGGGGCTCTGGTGTCTCCTCATTTGCGAATAAATTTCTCGCCTTTTACAACCTTAGTACGAACTTCACACTTTGTATTTTGACTGCTTACAATTAAATAAAAGGGTTGGAGTAGAGTTATGTAAGAACTGCTGATGCTTTTAATTTCACATAAATAGTAGCAAATCTTTTGAATTGAGAAATTTATCAGCGGCAAAGTTATCACCAAAGCCTTACGAAATAAACTATAAAGCACATAGAATCTCTCTATCCTACCACTCATTACTCAACAGTTCTTAAATCAAGTTCATTTCAGTGATTCCCGTGTAACTCGAAATGCGTTAAAGTTGGTAAATAATTTCTTCGCAGTTTAATGAACTACTTGTTGAACTTTAAGTTTTTTAGTTTATTCAATCAAATTGACTTTATGGTTAAAAACAGAAACAACTAGAAGAGTCTAATATTTTGTTTACTCTACCGACAAAATACACTTTAGAATGTCACTCAGTTGTAATCAACATAAAGCAAAACACAAATATGCATTGGTTTAAATTGCCATAATAAACTAGTACGAGACAAAATCAACAGCAAGAGTACCAAAGGACTACAAATAACTAAAATAACAATGATATTAAGAAATGCTAGGAATTGGAGAAAAGGAATAAAAATGCATATATGAAAGGAATACTGGAACCCAAGACCTAGGATAAAACAAAGAGTGAGTGTTTCTGAGGCATTGAGATCGATCCTGAAACATGTCACCCAAAGCCTTCAACCACTGATAGCGGTTACTCTGCGGCTACCGACATAGCCTTTATATGCTGTGGTATGGTCGAGAGTGGAGAGAGTCTGTTCTTCTTCTAGAAATGCTCTCGCATGACCACGCGTATACATCCACTACCAGGTAAGTCCTACTCAATGTCTTTCTTCAGTGAGGTCATTGTTTACGAAATTGAGAGGATGAAAAGCGAATGTTCGACGCTTGGACCGAGTTGACGGATACAGAGGATCCACCAAGGGGAGTTAGGAAACCCTGATTCCAAACCAATGGTGCACATGGACTCCAGGATCCTGAATGGAAAAATGGCGTACTAACCTATTGTTGGTCACCGACTATCGTGAGACCGCATCTCCTAGCGTTGCCTTGTGAATCCGACCTCTAGGTCAAAGGCTTGGGAGTAGCCCCTTAAGGAAACTATTTGTATCTGGGCGCTCGGAAAGTATATCAGTTCACACGAATTCATTGATTTGTATAGCGCATATCTGTTTTGATGCCCTTTGTACCAATGTGGATGTGTCTAGACAAGTAATGAAGTCCACAGCTCCTCACTACTATTCAAACTAACACTCGATGTTTTCATGCACCGGTCTTGTCATCTTTATCCGATTTTCAGGAAACTTTTAACAATCAACATATGATACATATACCATTGCGCATTCGTATAAAAAAATGGCCTAGTGTAAGTAACACTGTGTATCAAGTTTACAAGATTCATAAACAACTGCATTGCTTATATTTTGTATTCAGATAACTTTAATGTCACAGAAACCCGGTAGGGTAAGTGGTGTAACATAACCATCAGAGGTGTTATAGTCTAATTACCAATTCTGTGAAAATAAAAATACATCAAAATTTCATTGCCAGGGGACCTTAACCATCAAGAATTTAGGTTTAATGAATTATCACAACAGTTAAGTTCGGTTACTATGACGAGGTAGTGGATATATATATGCATAACAGTAGTTGCAATGAGAGGCATTTAAAATTCCATAAGTAATCGTACCCAAAAAAGGTCAGCGAATATTCTTCTCAGAGTGTTAGCAGCACGATGAAGACAAAGTTCCTTGTATACATTTAGGCGTTTAATATCATGAAACTGAAATTAATAAAGCAAATGACATAATAAATGCGAACTTGAGAGCAGTAAAAGTATTCATTTCTCAAAACTTTTCTCAGAGATGATAAAATCTGATTCAAATGCCTTCTTTCACACAAAACCCACGTATGGTTATCATCTATAACGTTTTTGAGCAATAAGAATTATTAACTAAGGCAACCTTTGGGTTGTTTTGTAGGAAACCTTTGACATAACTCAGGCACAGACGAACAATTGGTGAATGATAGATTTTGATGAACTCTTTCCTCTTCCAATGAACATCTAGGAGCAGGCCCACCAACATCTAAGCAACTTTCTTCTACTTCAAGACTATCAAGATTTAAAAAGAGAATAGCAATAAGTTACTTTGAATGGTAAGGTGACAAGTTGAATATTTCGTTATCACTATCACAATTACTTTTACTTGAAGATGTGTAACAATGGTCCACTTCAATTAAAGATCGAACTTTATCAAGCTGGGAAAAATCCATAGCTAATCATTAGTTGAGTGTACGGTATGATCAAAAGTTGTTAAATATCTGGAAAAGTAAAGACAAATAAAAACTGGGAGTTTAAGAAGTTGATACAAACTGTACATATATAAACACTTCAACATTAGTTGTAGTAAATACTATTGCCCCCAAATTCTTCGGTACGGCCGAGGATGGGTACAGTCAGTTCTTCCTCTCGAAATCAGTCGGTAAGTCAGCTACAACGTAGGACTAGACAGATATATGCATCGGTCCAAGTTGCCACACCTCATTAGCACAACAAGATGAACACCGAATGCATAGAAGTAGTTAATTCAATGGTGGTAATATATAAAAGAAGGATTGCACATAAGGATATAGCACAGGAAGAAAGAATTGGTTGGTAGAAAAATATAAAGCAATTTTAATGTCATAGTTTAAGGGAAAACAAAGAATGAATACACCTACTCTATTGTGATCGATTCTGAGCCGTCACTCCGACCATTGGTTACGATGGTTACGCGGACCCCAACTAAGTGGTCTACATCTACCAACATAGATCAGACTAGGAGCTAGTGACTTCAAGCACTGATACCAGGTTTTGGTTTGGCCACCCCCTAACTCTCTACCAATCATTGCCAACACTAATCAGCATTGCATGTAGTGGTAATCGATGTTCAGGCATACGTGACACGTGACCCAACCATCTCAGTCGATGAAGATTCACAACCTCATCAACTGATTTACCATCATTCCCCAATACCCTACGTCTAGCCTCACTATTACTTACCCGGCGATCCCAGAAGATACGAGCGATATTTCTAAGACATCGTTGATCAAATGCTTTATTTATTTATTTATTTATTTGGACACATGAATATTGGTACAGGGGAGCGCCAAATGCTAGCAACTTACGAGTATCTTCTACTCTAGTGGCCACGTTTCGCAACCATAAAGTAGAACAGAACGAACTACTACACAGTATGTTCGTCCCTCAATTAATAAACGGATATCTCGCCTTCGCCATAGGTGACTCAAGTCGGCAAAAGTCAAACGAGCGTTCTGAATCCATGTTGAGATTTCGTCAGACACCAACCGATTAGGGCTGATCAGACTACTTCACTCCCTATCCTTAGTTCAGGTGTTGACGCAGATCAGTCCTGAAACAACAACTTGCATTAGAGAGGGAGAAACGCATCCCAAACATCCTGGCATTGTTGCTTAGTGCGACCAAAAGACTGCATTTTATCAGCGTCTTTATCAAACAAGACTATGTCATCTGCGTATTCTAAGTTTATAAGTGAACCTCCTCGAAGGAGATCAATGCCCGGAAATTCAGTCGACGAAAACGTTGTTTCTAGCAATATGTCTATGATGAAGTTAAACGAAAATGGACATAACTGACAACCCTGCCGGACACCGCTTGAGGTTGCAAAATCAGATGACAGTTCGTCATAAGCTCCGACTCGACCGGTGATGTTCAAGTAAAGAGACTTCAAAGGTTTATGTACCTCTGAGGTTAAGCTTGCAATGACAGACACTGTCATAGAACCTCTCGATCTACGGAGTCAAATACTGCTTTGAAGTAAAAAAAAAAACCATCATTGTTGGACGCCGATAAGCATAACTGTGTTCCAAAACCTGACAAATGGTGAATATGTGGTCGATACAGCCACGACCAGGCATAAAGCCAGTCTGATTTCTCGTGTTTGCAGTTCATGGGTCTTAGGCGCCCAATAATTATTGAGGTTAGGACTTTAGATACTATGTTAGTCAAACTAATCCCCCCGATGATTATTACATGACAACTTTGACCCCTTATTATACACTGGGACAATCGGTGATTGTGACCAGTCAGATGGGATAACGTTCAACTCCTAGATTTTAGCTAAACTATTATTCAACCCAATCGCTAAAATTGGACCACCATACTTAATGACCTCTGGAGCCAATCCACCTGGACCAGCTGCTCTTTCTTGTTTCAGATTAGCTATAGTCTTTTGAACTTCAACTAGATTAGGAGACCTACTTCATTGTTCCATTTAGGCTGTTTGGGAATCGTGGTAGTTGTAGAGCAGCTTAAGGCAAGCTAAACTGCTGTCTAAAGTGTTCCGCTCATCGTTCTAAACATCTGGGCTGAGAACAGATAAGTGTCGTCTTTTTCCGAGATTGTCCCTTACATCTGACTTCTTATTTTCAGTTTCTTTTGTTAGTCTGAAGAGCTGTATTGTATTACTTACAGTCGCCGCCTTTTCCATCTCTTTTGTTTCCATTGCTCACTACTGCTCACGGTTGTTCCTTAAACTTTTGGTTAACCTAGATCTGATTTGTTGTCGCTCTTTATCGTATTCAAAGCCTGATGGTATGAGATTACATGAACTCATCAGTGCAATAGACTTAGAAGAAATCCATCAGTATTATGTGACCCTTTGGTTTAAATCACTAATAGATGTCACTGCTCACAGCTGTTTGTTTATCTTCCTAAGCAACATCTGGGTCAACTCTCGAAAAGCTCCCACATGGCCACGTGCATACAACCACTACCAGGGAAGTCCTACTCACTGCCTTCTCGCGGTGGGGGTGTTGTTTATAAAATAGAGAGGACAAAAAGAGAAAGTTCGGCGCTGGAATCGGGTTGATGTACACGGAAGATTCACTAAGGGGAGTTGGAAGACACTGATTCCAATCAATGGTGCACATGGACTCCAAGATCCTGGGGGGAACAAATGGCGGATGAACCTGTTCTTGGTCACCGACTACCATAGGACTGCATCTCCTGACGTTGCTCCACTGCCTTCTGGATCGGACTTTTAGGTCTGAGGCTCCGGGTATGGCCTCCTAAGAAAACCACCTGCTTTAGTCTGGGCACCCGGACAGTATCACAGCCTACACACAAATCAAGTGAGTTGTGTGGCGCATATGTATTCGGCGACCCTTTGTACCAATATTTATGTTCAAATAAATAAAATAAGGAACTATCCGTGACAGAAAAGGCTGTAGAGAATTCTTCCAGAAAGGTTTCTTAGATGTGGAGAGAAATTGAACGAGCGAAAATGTACTAAACTCAGTCTACTAAAGACGCTTAAACGGAGTGAGAAACAATTTTTGTCAGAAAACAGTGGTATGGCTTTGGCTTCATAAAAAGGTACTCCATTTGTAACGTCATCAACGGCAAATAATCATATAAACAGACTTCTCAAATATCTTTACTAGCTCATTAACAAGAGTACTTAAGATATATGATATCTTTGCTTCACAAGGACTTCTAATTTGATGACATACACTTTCTTGAGGAAGCAACCTACAGAGTTTCGTTTAAAATAATTTGGATTAAAATGTGAAGACGCACTTCTTTTTGTTTGTTAATACAGTAGGAGCCATAGCGGTTTCTTGTGTTCATAGTATCTGTTTAACTAAACCGTAGATTGATGTAGGTTTCCTTACAGCATAGTTTTACTCCAAGTGTTCTGGAGTGTTATGAGATTCGAACCATTCAGATCAAGAAAAATCATGCAAATTATTAAAACTGTTGTCTACAAGTTAAAGTACAATATGTATGGAAGTTTAAAGGTGGAACTATGATTACAATTTCGAGTTAGAAATATAAGCAGAAGTTCTCATCAAGAAATGCCAAGACAATATTTAACCGTATTTTAGCGGCTTTTTAGCTCAAAGATACTTTTTGCACACAACAAACGTGCAGAGCAGCGTGAGTGGCATAGAAAAAGAGAACAAAAGTTGGGTCGACTACCCAACAAGCGTACAGAATTTACATACACTTATCGTGGAAAGCAATATTCAATAATCAGCAATAACACTGGATACGAACCAAGACATTCCTGGAATCAAACTAGAAGCAGAAAAGTTGATGCGCTACAGTATGGATGAACGAATTTTGCACCAAAATCCAACACTTGTTATCCTTAATTTCACCGATTAGTCCACAAATTTGTTTCTACCAAGCAGAACTTCCCTCAGTCTAGTAAGTGAGTTTTCAGGATATATGACAAGATGTCACTTTAAGTATGTTTCAGACAGAATGATCTCAATTGAGATAGTCAACTATCTGGCGAGACTATAACTTATGGATTTCATGTCGATATGCAGTAACATGTGTTGCTGCAGGACAAAGGAGGGGAAATTTACATCTCCTCTCTATTTACGCTTTCTTCCTCTTTATTTCTCTTTGTCCACATTTATTTCCCTTTAGTTGGTCGGTTGGGACTAAATTTATTCGGTCACAGTTAAGGAAACGACCAATGACCACATAAAGCAACAGCTCACTAAATGACTGGAATCCTGAGATACAACACTTGACTTTGCGGCAACAGGTATCATGACATTTACGGTACTATTTACTTTAAAAGACTAGCCTTGAGGAGACGTCCAAACTTTAATAGCCCGCGTAGGCTATTCTGTTTCCCATCAGTCTCACTTTGTAAAGGACAGGAGACTTGATGGCCTGTGTTAGTCCTGGCAATTACGGCCTCTCAGTTGATCCAACTTCCCTTTGAAAGTGTCGACAGATGGAGCTTAAATCACATGTTCAGTTAATAAATTCGCTAGAGCGTTGTCAAACTCCAAATATCTGTAGCATCTTCAAGCTCAATGTTATTCATCATGTATGTATTTGTACCTTGATGACCAATATACATCACAATACACTTGGAAGTATTTATCGGCAACTGCCTAGATTGAGACCATTCGGACAATTTCTCTAGGCCATTTTCAAGTTCTAGGCTATCACCCTTCGTAACGCTCTCCATATTTTGACATCATCAACATATAGGAAGACCGACGGTGACAGAGACAAAGAATGTCATTTACGTACAAAAGGAATAACACTGGCCCCCAAACTGTACTCTGAGGTACTCTTTTAAGCACAGTTTCCCAGCTAGACAACTTTGAGTTCGCCCGTACTGTTTGTTGACGCCCAACTGGGAAGCCTTTTATACACATTATTAACTTGCCTACAACCCCGATATTTCTTAGCTTATATAACGGTCGATTGTGATGGACTT